AAGTATAGTTATTAAACCTGGATAGATTTACTAGGTTGATTTAGAAATTGGATTAATTTGAATTTAAAAAAAAACTAGTGAGTGGAATGATTTGTTCAAACCTAATTGATTTGACAGATTAAAATATAAAATTTATTAATATATATATATTCTGTATTCTCAATATTTTTTTAATATAGAATAAATGTAGTTTTATTTAACTATATAGAGATGATGAAAATGATAGTTTTTAAAACTTAAAGTGTTTTTAAATATGTTTTTAAAATTTCAAAAACTTCACCTGTTTAATATAATATTTTTTTAATATATGATAAAAAATATTTTTAAATATGTTTTTAAATTTTATTATTTACAATATATATAATTTATACTTACATGTATTTTTTTAATTTTTTATATAATTTTTTAAAATTTTTTTGGGAAAATTCAGGAGTTCGGATAAACCCCAGATTGAATGTAATAACTATGCATTGAATAACAAAATAAGTATTCCCTTGACTTTTTATTTCTTTTGTAATCTCATCTTTTTTTTTCTTAATTTTTCTGTTCTTCATTTCCCTCTCTCTCTTCCTCCATGTTATTCCTTTTCTCTCTTATGTAATGCTGTCAAAATTTAAACTCAGTTATATCAGATAGCTGGAGCTTTGCACATGACAAATTACAAAGATTATTCGACCATGTCATGACACATGTAGTTTGCTTATATATTTGCTTGTATATATACAGTCAATATGGCTATTTTTTCTAGATTAATTTTTACAAGCTTACATCATTGACTATACGTGTGCTTAAAGGCATCATGCCACTTTTCTTTTCTTTTTTTTTCTTTTTTTTTTTTAATCTCAGGCTGTGATTTACAACAGAGCAGTACCACGTCTCATTGACTTGCAGCAGAGCACCATGCTCATATATTCTTCTATCATAAATAAATTGAATTGAGAGCCTCCAGGTAAGATTTATATGTCATACAAGTAGCGTATTGGTTCATTACGAAAGCATTTTGAGTATTTTCCGTGTATTTTATTGCCTTTCATTTCTTTTTTTATTTATTAATATTAATATTCAGATTAATTTGAGTATACTTTATTGATCTCAAATGCCCTATAAAATTAATGATCATATAAATTTTTAATAATTTTGAAATTTACAAAACTCAAATTAATAATTTCTAAATATTAAATTTAAAATTTAATTAATTGAATTACACCTCTCACAGTTATATTTTTTATATTTAACAATATTAGATGTTTATAAATTTAGTGATCGAGAATAAAAGTTTAACAAATTAATTAAGGGTAAATAGTACTTATAAAATCATTGAGAATTATCAAATCAAAAGGTTTAAGTTCTCGGATTATATATTTTTAATCTTAAATAACATAAGTTATACGAAAATTGATGGATTCATTAATTCATAATTTAATTACATCTTGTGTGTTAAATACATTTCAGGATCAACTCAACCTCGCAGGGAGTAGTTGACATTGTAGCTTGTCTTTTGGCTGTGTAATATAATGACATATGAATAGGCTAAGTTATAATGTAATAAAGGAGCAGAGGCATCTTGAGGCTGCTGGACCTTCAATCAGTATATTGATCATAATCCCCATTGTTATTAAGATTTATTTTTTTAATCATAATTAGGAACATATACAAGTTGGAAGGATTGTAATTTCTGAAAAAAATTTCAAGTTGAAAAGTTTTCTTCTGCATACAATACATAATATGATGGAATAAACTTTAGGTTTAAAGTGTGTTCGGTAAAATAATAATAATAATAAAATTCTATCTTTCTTTTTCTTTTTTAGTTTTTTTTTCAAATAAAAAATTACAAAGTGTGTTCATTTATTAAAAATGAAAATGAATTTTTCAACAACAAAAAAGAAGAAATATATCAAAATTACAACTATTTTCATAAAAAATCTAAATCTAAATTTATAATAATCATCTTAATATTTTGTATTTGTGATAATATACTTGTAGAATATTCATTTTACTTCATTCAAATTAAAAACTATCATGAAAAAGTTATATTGTTAACTTAAAAAAAAATATCTTTATATTAGATTCATAATAAGAACTAAATTTGTAACACTAACTAAATATGAAAATATAAAAAAAAAATATTATTACTAAATATGAAAATATAAAAAAAAAATAATATTAGTTTTTTATACTGTTAACAAATACTTGTATACAAAAGAAAAAATGGAATTATTAATTTTTTTCTTCATTTTAAAAACATGCATTGAAAAAGTATAGAGAAGTACATATTTTGAAAAATAAAAACTTGTTTTTATTTTTTTTAAATTGAAAAATATTATATTTAAACAACAAGTTTTTCCTTTTCTAATTTTTATTTTTTTTAAAAAAAACTAGAGTATTATTTTGTATTCAAATAACCCACTTAAATTTTGTCATATTTTATTACCTTTGTCTTCTATGTAAATTTAAGACAATAACTTATCAACTACTCTAAAAACAGTACACTTATTTTTCTTTTCTTTACTTTTTTTCAAAAGGCTAATATTATATTATAAATCATTTCAATCTCTTTTTTCCTCTCTTTACACCAACAAAGTCATAGTCAAACACTTGTTATTAATGTCTAGAAACACGATTCGATATTTTTTATAAAAAATATTTACTTAAATTTATTTTTATATTTTTAAATCATTTTAATATGTTGATGTCTAAAATAATTTTTAAAAATTAAAAAAATATTATTTTAATATATATTTTAATAAAAAATACTTTAAATTTTAGTCTAGCACTAGTAACCATGTCATGTGTGTCAAAAAATTTCAGTCCTCCCTCCCTGCCCCTTTCATCATTCTTTTCGTTCTTATCTCTTATTTCTCTCTGAAGAGGACACGGAGAAATCCACTTCAACTTCTGAGATTTTCAACATTTCCCTGTATATACGATCCTTCATTTTACTTGTTCTTTTAGGCTTTCTTCGTTTCTATTGTGCGTGCTTTTGTAGTTTTTTGGTTGGCTGATGCTATTTGTGAAGGAAAAGAGAGTTTTGTGATTGGAAGATTTGCATTGGACTTGAATAGCAGCATCTAGATCATGTTCTAGCTAGCTAGCTTTAGCTTCACATCATTGTTAGATATGGATTCATTCTTGTTCCGAGGAAGCAGAGTCACTAGCACTAGTAATGACTCCACTGATGATGGATCTTTTCTTTCATACCAGCTTGCTGCCTTTTGTTTGAAGATCTCCATTTCAAGCACAGTTGACATTTACCCTAACCCCCTGTTAGGCCCAAATGGCCGAAGCTCCGTGTATAGCATTCTACATCACAGTATGCTGCATTGCTTTTATTATATCGAAGATTATTATTTCAGGCGATGGAAAACAAAGCATATGATTTATGAAGAAGATGGCCTCTCAGGTACACTTACCACTACATGAACAGCTCTTGGCCTTCATTGTAATAGCTTGGAAATTAAGATAAAGTCAATGGGGATGTTCAAGTCTGCAATGATGCAATCCCTAATCTGATGTGCTCTTGAAAAAGACACTTGAATCGAGCAACAAGGACATCATAGGATCGGGGGAGCGTATGGGACAGTGTACAAGTCGATGCTAAACGAGTCTACTGCAGAAAGAGATCGAGGTTTCGAGAGAGAGCTGGAGGCCACGGGGGATATAAAGCATAGGAATATTCTCATTCTTCATGGATATTACACTTGTCCTCACTAAAATCTTCTCATTTATGATCTAATGCCTACCGAGAGGTTGGACACATTTCTGAATGGCAAGCGCATGACATACCTTCGAGTAACACAGCTAACCATTTTCTGCCTAAATTTTTTTTTCAGCATTGAAATTCTGATCTTCTTTGATTGTGCGCCTTTTCCAATGTTCATAGAAAGTTCTGTCAGGACTAGAGTTTTCATCTGAAGCACGCTAGATTTTAAAGCTATTCGATACTGAAGTGGATGATGATGCAGGGAGATCAGGAGACAACAAGCTATTGGATTGGCCATCAAGATATAAGATAACACTAGGTGCTGCAAGAGGAATATCATACCTGCATCTTGATTGCATCCCCCCACATAATTCACCGATCGAAACATGGAAGCTCGAGTTTCAGATCTTGGAGTGGCCACATCGATGGAACCTAATAAGACTCATGTTTCAACATTAGTAGTGGAAACTTCTGGATACTTAGCTCCTGGCATGTCAAAGCACCAGATAACTGTAAATTCTATCTCTTCCCTTGTAGGGATTTAATAATTAATATCTCCAGGTATGTTCTTCCTCAGAGTTCTTTGAAACAGGGAAACCGACCGTGAAAGTGGATGTATACAGCTTTGGGGTTGTCCTGCTCGAACGTCTACCTGGAATGAAGCCAACAGAAGATGAATTTTTCGAGGAAGAAACCAAGCTTGTAACATGGGTGAGTCTTCTGAATTTAACTAGCATTTCTAGACTCTCTTGTGGGTGAGGGAAGAAGATTATAGGAAATCCCAAAGTGCTTCTGTACAGAATGTTGTTCTGACTTCCATAATGCTTATTAAAAAATGTCATCTCAAACAAATTTAAATATTAATTAGCACGTGCAAGAAAATGGTCTATGAAAGCAATATTGCTTACAGTGAACTCATCTCAAGTGCTACAAATTCTGAACAATAAACTACATGAAGTTCCATGGCACAACCAGATATGCCAGTCAAGCTTTATGGGGATTCAGAACAGGCTGTTTAACTGGGAAAAGGGTGCCTCAACTACTAGTTTCCTCTAATATTAGTCTGAAGCCACCTGATATTACATATATTGATATGGTACCTCTTTGTTTGTTTCATGTTGAAACTTGAAACAGGTGAAGGCAGTTGTCGACCATAAAAGGGAAGAGTACGTCCTTGACAGTAGCTTAAAGTGCAGTCCCACTGAAGAGATTAATAAAGTATTCATTATAGCATTCCTGTGCCTTGAACCAGAGCCCTCCAAGAGACCTACCATGGATGAGATTGTCAAGATGCATGAGCAAGCTAAATCGAAGAGGGTTGTGGAAGACTACTAATATTTACTTACTGACTAATCCTTTTTCTAGCAAATTTGATGTTTACTTTATGTAGAATTAATTAATAGATTTTCATTAACAGACAATCTTGACATGCTTTATGTTGTTGAGCATTATGAGTACCAAGCCTAACATGAGCCAAAAACCTAAAACAAAATGAGTGGCATATTTCTCCATTGGAGAATAGGTGACTAGCCAAAAGGATGATATGGTTCATAAAAAGCTTACCAGCCCCTGCACTAGACTCACAGGACTATGTTTTATTATGATTTAAGCAAGAGGTACTACAATGAAAGAGGCCACATAAAGATGATGCTAATCTGCTAAGCATTTTAATGGAATGAAAAATTCTTCTATCAGAATATTCGGTGGAGATGTCAGATTCTCAACAGTCTAAGCTACAACTATAAGCAAGATTTTCCAGAGTCGCAAATAATCAAGAAAATCTAACATGGAGGCTGCAGAAATGAAAAATATGAACTTGAAGAAACTAAGATTCAAAAATTGAAGTAACATGAACTTCAAGAAACCAAGTCACCTTATTCACTTGAGTATAGTTGCAAGGCCATTAGCTGCCGAGTTTTTCAAGGATGGAGAAACTGGAGCATCTCCAAAAAATACGTCAAAAAGTGCAGAAGTAACATTTTCTGACTCAATTGTAGCATCTACACTAGAGGGAATCCCATCAGATGAGACACAAACCTGAAACAATCATAATATGGTCTTGTTAATATGCAGAGGAGAAAACCAAAAATACAAAAACAAATAGAAGAAAAATAAATGTAAAATCTTCTGTCACCAAAATTCTAAAAAAAGAATTACAAGTGTGTTCTTGTATGCATGTGCCAAAATCACACTTACTAGCATCTTGGAGGGATTCAGCCAAGTCAAAAATATCAAAGTTCCTTTCTTAAGACTTCGACCTTGGAAGATGCTTCGGAATGTGGACAGAGCAGACTCGTCAACTGGAGTGGCAGTTTTGATTCTTGGGGATATGGCGTCATCCAAGGCATCCCAGAAAGTTTTACCATCAATATCTCTCACCAGAACAATCTGTAATGATTTTTCCAAGGGAGCTGCAATTAAGGGATAATTTCAGTTATATTAGCAAAATTCATATGCTCTTCCTCTGCAGACCAGCACATATCTGATGAGATAAGTTACCTTGGAAAATCGAGCTAAACAAAGCTGAATTCTCTTGAATCTCACTGGCTGATTGTCCTTTCCAAGTGCTCAATGTACTTAAAATGGATGGATTGACATATAGCCCTGCAGCATATACCTTGACACCAATTATTGCAAAAACCTTCTCCCTGTATCCTGAATTCAATGAAGAACATAGTTACGGCATTAGAATGACAACTTAGACAGCAAAAGCCACAGTGAGACTTAAATGGACTTTGGGTTATCTAAAATTACAACAGACCCATTAACTTCTCTACTTGGAGTTTTGATTGCTGAAAACCATACCAAAAACATCGACCTTCAGACAATACCAGCAGCAGGAGATTCAAGTCAGTAGAACCATTAGTTTTCCAGTTATAGTTAGAGCACCACCTCAAATACACGCATTAATTCCTTAATCTAGAAAGACAGCTGTTTTCAAGTAAGTGCTCCTCCATTGTCATCGAAAAACAGAGGATCCTCCGCCTCTAAAGGGAGGCCTTTCCATTGAACTCTCCTAAATGATTACATTTGGAAGCAATTTTATAAAACACCTCTATTGTAACTTCCATCATAGTTACTGCTTGTTGTAGTAGGATTCAGTTTATTAACATGCGTTAACAATCAATTAATACACAATGTAAAATGAAAGATAATACAAACAACATATTTGAATATAATAACTCCTGCACATGTTTATCTGACACCTATGCTTTCTGTTAGAGATGAAGGTTCTTTAAATGAACTTGTTATGTTCCTCCACCCATTATGAGAGTAGGGAATTATTGAAATAATTTCCTTACAATAAGTGTGAAGTAGAAGGGGCAAAAAAGATGTTCTAGGATACTATAACAGTTGTGATCGATTCTATCTATCTTCCAAAACCCTTTATCCTACAAATTGTAAAAGGACACTACATTAAGGGATAATCATACCAGCTCTTACAGTTAGATGGCTGCAAACACTAAATGATTGTACAAAAGTTCGATTGATACATGGTTTCTAGTCTCTGCTGGAAATAAGTACTCACAACACTAAAGTAACTGACCAGTTCCAAGCAATGATAATGAGGTAGAGCAACCCGGTAAACTCAACGATCTCTGAAATTTCTCTTTGGTTGCTGTTTCCTCTGTGTATTCTGCACTCCCAACTGCAGAAATGGGTTAAGAGAGCAAAAGGTCTCATAATTTTGTGATGATTTCAAATTTAGAGAAAAAAATAACAAAGAAAGAAAGGAAAACAAGCAGCATGTTTATATTGTTTTTCTCTTAGACTTTCAACCTCTATTTAATGTATAGCTTTAGAATAGAAAGATAAGAAGTTAGAGTAACCCTCACATATTTCAATCTGATTCCATTTCCTTATCTGTTACTACTCTTTTCTCTTTTTCATTACAGTCTTAAATGAAACCGCATAGCAGATTCCATGGTGATATGTCTAATATTAAATATTCTTAAGAATAAAGACAACCTAAACAAAACACAAGTTTTCCAGTCAAAGGATGCCATGCATTTCTTCTTTTGGTCATTGTAACTGATACAATTTTTTTTTTTTTCTTGAATTAGCTAACTAGCCTCAAGATCTTGTATCCAAGATACAGCAGCCCCCACCCAGCCCCCAACACACAGACACGCATACTAAAAAGAATAGTTTTCACATATTTGTTTTTGACAAGCAACATTAATTCTAATTTAAGCATATTATCCCTTTGCTTTTCCCTTCCTGAAATTTTGATATGCTGCCGATGAGTTTCAGTTTTAAGAGGAAGACGATGTTTTCCTAGGTCTCAGGTGTCTAATCTAACATTTGAACAGGCACTACTCTGTCATCAACTTATACAAAGAGAACTTCATAAATCCTACTGTAATACCCTTGAACCTTCATCACCACAGTTATTAACGCACCCAACCCCAGATGTTCTCCCTAAAAAGGAAACCATCAACCATTTCCTTTTCCCACTTCCATTTAGATTTGGGTTCATATAACTACTTTCACCAATTAGATTCACAAAATGTTATTGTTTCGGCTTTTAATCAAGAGCAATTTCCTCAAGCTCAGCCTCTATGCCAATGATGCAGCAATTATTATTGAGCTGATATTTAATCACTAGCGAGATTTGGGGTAACAAACGAGCCCTTAAAGACTGATAGGGGAAATCATAAGAAATATATAACGACCTTGATGATATTCTTATGAAAATCCACTGAGACAAGAAATTAACAATGACATAAGTGAATCATGAATAGAAATTATAATCACATAGTCAAGAACAAAATATGGACTAATTCTTTGAAGGATTTCCAGACCTTAACCATCTCCAAGCCTCCAATGCCCTAGACTTGATCCCACATTGTTCCAAAGTTTTTTCCATAATATTTACCACAATTAGTTAAACAGGATTCCTATTTCTTAAACTTTGCCAGTTTTCACAAATATCTTTTAGAAATAAAAAAAAAAATCCCCACAAGAAAATAGCACTCCATATATATACAATTTCAATGAGAATATTCAAATAACCTTGAGATGATTCAAGCAGACCCCAATTGCACACAAAGTGAATCACTTCTTGTGAATTATGACCAAATATGCGAAATTGCAAAGAACTTTGGCATGCATGACAATACTATCAAACTCAATATGAATTGTCAAAGAAAAAGAACTGTGATAAATTAAAAGAAGAGCTGAGAAAGGTACCTGAAAAGGAGGAGGAGGAGGAGGAGGAGGCGGCTTTGAAAGAGAGATGGGTTGGAGTTGAGTTGTTGTTGAGGTGAGGGAATGTGGATAAGGGTGAGAAATCAGAGTGGGTTTTATAGAATGGTAACGAAACTGGATTGTTTGGAGATTTCAGTGGAAAATGATGTAAGATATTCCAGGCCTGAGTAGAACACATTGACATTGCCATGCTTCAGTAGAAAATACTATCAAGAACCAAAAAGTAAGTGTTCGAAGACTTGCAAGAAGAGATAAGGACGTTTGTTTTTATAAAATAATTTCCCGAAAATCATTTTTCCTGCATATTATTTAAAAAAAAATTTATTTTATTTAAAATAATTTATTTATTCTCTTTTAATTTTTTAATTTTTTTAATTTTATTTTTATCATTTATTTCATTTAAAATAATTTATAAAATTTTATTATCTTTCAATTTTTTATTTAATTTATTTTTTAATAAAAAAAATTTAAAATAAAATATTAATAATTTATTTTTTATATTATATAGTCAAACACTCAAAATTATTATTTTTATTTATTTTCTATAACATTATAAAACATCATAAAATAATGTATTTATAAAAAAATTATTTTTCATAAAAAATGATTTTCTAATAAAAATAGTTAATTACTAGTCGTGTAGACTAATTAGAATTAATTTAAATAAATAAAAATATTATAAAAAGTTAAAACAATATTATTTATATGATAAACAAAAACTTGTAGAGTTGTACCTTACTTTCCCTTCTGATTTTTTTTTAATTAGAGGAGCATGCACCCTCCATGTGTTGCGGGAACAGTAATGGTGAAATCCAACGGTCCACACTCCATCACGGCGTCACCTAAATAAAAATCTACACCTTGTTTACCATGAGTAGATTGTTCATCTCACGTATCATCTAGCTTGTAAAACTAGTTTGATTCTTTGTATTGTGCTGCGTTGCTGCATTCAACTTTTATTCCATGTGTTTTTTTTTTAATTTTTTTTAATTTAGATTTTTTTATATTTTATATATTATTTAATTGTTGTATTTTATTTTTATAATGTCTAGTAGAAAATATACATCTGGTTATGAAAAAGGAAAAAAAAAGAAGAAGAAAAAGAATTGATAGTTTGATTTAATCTTGAAAAGGTATTCTCGATAAATTTCTAATTAGTAATCAACAAAATAATTAGAGGAGAATGAAACTCTAGTAACCAAAAAACAATCCAATAACTGTAAAATTGAGGAATAATAAAATAATATTAATATAAATACTATTAACAGTAACAACCTAGAAAATAATGATGAGCTTAGAGTAAAAACAATAATTTAATGATTGAAGAAAATATAGGTGTTGAATGATGCTTCTAATTACAGTGTAAAAGATATTTGTTGTCTTGTTTTGTGTGTGGTGTCGTGAGAATTATTTTTTTATACAGGGATTGTTAGAAATAATGTGAATTGAAAAAATAAGAAATTTTTATTTTTTATTAGTAGAAAAAAATAAAAATTATCATCTAATATTTTATTATTAAAAACTCTAAGTGATTTTAGAGTTTTGATAAAAAACTAATTGTGTAAAAAAAATATATTAACATCTCTAATATACTTTAAGGTAAATTTTATTATTTATTTGTTTGATATAAACTAAGATAATGTTGTGTTTTCTAACTATTAATATCTTTAGGGTTTTAAAAAAACTTTTTAGGTAAAAAAATCTTTATCTTATCATATTAAAATCTAATTATTATAATGTAAATATAAAAATAAAATAAATGATCTTTAATTTATTAAAAGAAACAAAATAAATTTTCTTGGTTTTTTATTTAATATTAAAAATATATTTTATGTAAAAGTTCATAATTCTGTATATTAAAAAGGAAGAAAATAATTTTTTGATATTTTTTAAATGTTGGCCAAAATCCTTTAAATTTTTACAAATTTGTTTTAAAATCCATGCAATACATATATTTTTTTAAACATATCATAATATTTTAGATTTTTTTTAAATGCTTAAATAAATTTAGAATTTTAATCATAAAAAAAATTTTAAACATGCCACATTAGTTTTGAGAAAGAGAGCTATTGTGTTTTTCAATTTGGAGAGAGTTTCATCTTTTGATGTGTGATATATTTAATTTTTGTATTATTGAAACATGATAATTATTTTTTTATTTAAAAATAATAATATTTAATAAATATTAAGCTTCAGAAGCAGAAGAAGATAAAAATATATTACTAAACCATCATTTTTTTAAATGGTGTTATTCTATCAAAAGATTTGGATTACTGTGCTATTTTTTTAATAAAAAGAATCTCTTTTTTCCTCCTATTACTTCACCTCAACTAAGGTCTAACAATGCCTAATCTCTCATAAGTTTCAGTGTACTTCAGGTACTGCTGTTGAAGTCACTGCTTCCTTTTCACTTTCTACATATGCCTGTTTCCTTTATTGAGAGCACAATCTGGCTGAATTTCTCGAGTCTTTTTCTTGAGTACAGTATATTTTAGTTGGTTTCTTCTAAAATCTGTGTTGGGTTTATCATGATTACTACAATAAATGGAAAATGGTCATATTTTGGGATTTCTTCTCTGTTCATAATTTTGCAGGTGGAAGTTCTTCCATGGATAATGAACAGGTAGCAACAATCAACTTCTCTTTGCACACAAACATCCGATGGAAAGTAAACGAATCCAACTTAAATTGGGTAAATTTTTGCTTGTACATTGTCCTAATTCCATGAAATTTGCTTTGACAATAATATTGCAGAAAACTTTACTAGCGAATATAATTTACGCATGCTCTTACGTGGATTGCCAGATTCTACAAAAGGGTTGCCCCTTTGCTTTTCCCTAGATAGTCTCATAAGCCATGCATCAATAGCGATGAATCTGTACTACCAATGTAAGGGAAGGAACCACTGGGATTGTGATTTCAGGGACTTCCAGCCTCATTGCCAAGACTGATCCAAGTAAGGACTACTACATGTATGATGCAATGCGTTATCCTTCTGGCATCAATGAAGAAATTTTCATGTCATGATTACGACAATTTTGTGTCAATTTGCAGGTTATAGCAACTGCATCTATGCCTAAGCGTTGGTAGCAACTGCATCTATGCCTAAGCCTTGGTCCATAAACTATGATAGAAGTGCGCGAGGGTGTGGGAATTCGATACAAAGAAGCAACCAGAAAGTGTTGTTTGACTCAGGATCAGAACTCAGAAGAACCACCAGGTTAGGTCCTCCTATGCATCGGGGCCTATTAAATCTTTTCATAGACTTTGAAATTTGAATAGAACCATCTAATTCGTAATCCGAAACTAACTACTTTTGTGAAGACAAGTTAGAGGCCTTGATGTGCCTTGAAAAAAATTCAGCTTAAGATTAAGAAAAAACTAAAACTGCTTAGTATTTTACCGTAGATTGAAACAGTGAGTTTTATTTCTTATTTTTATGTTCTTCAAGTATTTTTTGTAAAATTTTTGGTTATTTATTTTTTTTTCATTTTATTCTTAGATATTATGTTTAATGATATTTGAAAAAAAAATATTTGTTTCAATTAACTTGGGATTTTTTGTGTGATCTCTATTGATTCACAATTTGGTAGAATAAAGTTTGATTTTATTGTTTAAAAATAATTGAATATTTAGAGACCAAATCGAGCTCTCAAAGACAAAAGCAGGTTTTATATATCATATATATACATATATATTTTAACTGAACAACCATTCATAATTGAATACTTAGGGTTTTAAAAATTAGGTGATTAAATTTTTTTTTTCTTTCTAGGTTTTGGTCCTTTAGTTTTAGTATTTTTAATTTTGATTTAAAAATTTATTTTATTCATATTTTAATCTCTAAATTTAAAAAATAAAAAAAAATTATTAGAAAATAAGAAAAGAAAAAAAAAAGAATGGTTATTCAGTGATCAAAATAGTAGTTTTTGGTGCTCATGGAGAAATTTTTTTAATATATTTTTAAATAAAAAATATTTTAAAAAACAATCCAACCACGCTCTTTTTGTTTTTAAAATCTAAATTTTGAATAAGACTCCACTTGTTTTATTTAGGGTGTGTTGTAGAAATTGATTTTCAAAGTAATCTTGATTTTGGAAGGGCTACACTTCGTTTGGTGGCTTGTGGCTGCTCCTCCATTGATTCAATAATATGTATTCGGTGAGGAATTATGCAAAGTCAGTTTCTAAGAGTTGTAACAAAGATTATGGTTCCAGGAGAATGGTTTGTTGCCGGCGAGATATTGCTAGGTGTCGAGTTTCTTCAATAAAAACCCCTGAGACTTTGCTTGCTGGTGCTTTTTTTTTTTTAATGGCTGAAGCTCTCCTTATTTTTCTTTTTTCTTTTTAAAAAAAGATTTGGATTCTATGTTTTGCTACCTGTTTTTGATATTCATGTTTTTTCCTTGTATTTGTAGTAGTTGTATTTGCCTTTCGTATTTATGTTTAAAATTGCCTATTAGGATATCTTAAGAGTATTAGTTTCGTTTCTTATTGATACTGAATGTATCTGTATTCGACGGAACAATCTGAATTTGTTGGATTACTGTTTAGTGTCTGTATCCAACAGGAATATCAATCAGTGACTTGTCTTACTGATACTGATCGAATCTGCTTTAGAGTAGCACAGGCCGTTGCCATTCGTTAACCACTTCTTTGTTGACCACAGTTTAGTGCTTTCCTAATTCATTATGATTCTGGTGATTCCATATACTTAACGTAGCATTTAACTGCTTGGTCTCCATCAATAAAGCACCTGCCATTGATGTAATATGTTGTGATGCAAATGTTGGTATTTTTGTTCATTTTTGGCTTGATACAGGGGTTGCTGAAGGTCCCACAGTACTTCTGAATTTGAAGAAAGAGTCGAGAGAACCAGTTTCATTAATAAATTTATTTGAAGTGGTTGCTGCTGATCTTCAGACTCTTAAACAAAATCTCTGGTCAGTGGGTGCCCTTTTTAGATATTTGTTGTTGAGCAGTTAATACATGTTAGATATTGTGTAGTTAGACATATGTTAGGACGTAGCTATTGCATGCTATTGAGTTCTTCCATGCCAATAATGATAGATGTTGAATTTTCATGTCGTGCTTTATGTATGTTGATGTCGTTTTATGATTTGTTGATTCTTGGAATACAAATGTGGTTTTACTTCAAAATGCCATCTTGAATTGTTGTGTTAGTCTGTGGCCGTGGTAATATCCTTGTATGTAATTTATTTTGCTGGGAATTGGCTCTTCTTCCTCAGTC